CGCTGACCAAAGGCACCTCAGCGAGGGCTGCCCGCGCCCACCAGGTGTGTCTATCTGCACCTGCTCTCACCTCAGCACCTGCATTAGCCCCACAGAGGTGATCTCCTCGCTGCACTGGCCTCCGAGGGAACAGGGCGTCACCACTCCGCCCTCTCACTGTCATCTCACAGGTGCCCACCCTCAGCACCCAGAACACCCAGACACTCTCCAAAGGACATGAGCGTGCCGGAGGGGACGTGTGCACATCCTGTGGGGGACTTAGGCATGCTGGGGTTGATGGAAGTGCGGCGGAGGGGCGGGGAGGGGGGAGGAACTTGTGCGTGCCTTGGTCCGGGACTGTTGCAGGCGCGCTGGGGGATGTTCACATGCCAGTGCGGGGGAGGGAGGGGGAGGAGAGGATGTGCGCACTGGAGGCCTGTGGCTTTGCAGATTCACAAACCCCTGTGGCGCGGCCAGGAGGATGTCAATCTGGCCCACTGTGGTGGCTGTCCCTGCGATCATACACCTTCTGGGCCAGGAGGTGGGACTTGCGCAGCCACTCCTCTGCTGATGGCCTGCAGGCGCTACTTCAGCTCAGCCTGCAGGCTCTGCTTGACGCGTTCACAGCTGCCACCGCAGCCACGTGGGGAGTACAGGCCGCCCTCCGCCGGCCTGCCTCCTCTGCCCAGAGGCTCTCCGAGTGCTGCTCACAGGCCTGGAGCGGCCTGGGTGGGGCGGGACACCAGTGCGTGCTGCTCACCTGCCTGGAGTGACCCGGGTAGGGCGGAAACCAGGCGTCCCGCCCTGCCCCAGTCGCTCCTTGCCTCCACTGGCTGTGCACTGGCCTGGAGTGGCCAGGGCTGGGTGGAAGCCAGGCATCCTGCCCCGCCCAACCCAGGCTGCTCTGTCCCTGTGCGCGCTGCCCACTGGCCGGGATCTGCCAGGGCAGGGCGGTGAGGGATGCCTGCTCATCATCTTTGTTGGGTTAATTTGCATATCACTCCGATTGGCTGGTGGGCATGGCTGGTGGGCATGGCTTGAGCATAGCAGAGGGACGGCTAATTTGCATGTTTCTCTTTTATTATATAGGATTCCCACCTATATTATTTATCCAAATATTCACATGGCCTGCTTCCTAACTTCAGGTTTCTCCAATGTCCTTCCCTCAGAAAGGACTTCCCTCATTACTCTCTATCCCCTTTCTCTGCCCAATATCATGTCATAAACCTACTTACCTATTTGTTTAAGGTGTGCCTCCTCTACCAGAATTTAAGCTCCATGAGAGCAAGAATTTCTCTTGCTCACTATGAAATACCCACCATCTAGAACAGTGAGTACAGAGGTGCACTTGCAAAAAGTTTGATGAGTGAATAAATGCCTGCTACTGCTTGGTGAAAATGAATAGGATGTGGAGATGGAAATATATTGCTAAGAGTAGCCAGGGAGATTGTGAGAGAATGAGATGATTGAGGAAAAGTAATGGGCATCTTATTAATCCTCACCTGAGGATATTTTTTCAATTGATTTTTAGAGACAGTGGAAGTGGGGTGGGAGAGAGAGAGAGAGAGAGAGATATCAATGTGAGAGGGACACATCTATTGTCTGCTGGCTGGGGATTGAACCTGCAATCTAGATATACTAGTATGCCCTTGATCATAAGAATCTACCCATGATCCTTTGGTGTGTGGGCTGATGCTCTAAACATTGAGCCACAATCGCGAGGGCTAAATGAGCATCTTTAAGAGCCTAATCAAGGAACCAGTGCAGGGTTGCAATGGCAGGAAAGTAACACAGTTTCCCTGTGTGGCTGAGAACATTGTTTCTGCATAAGATCACCTACTATTCTCTTTTTGGCTCTGGGCTACTTTGTTCATCTTTCTAAGCCTCAATACCCAATCATGGGGCTCACAATCATAGTATCTTCCACCTTAGGTTGTGATGAGGTTAAATGAGCTAATAGCTATAAAGACTTGGACACAGGGTAAGCTCTCAAAAAGTATTAATTATGATGATCCATAATTAGGGGAATATTGTGAAAAATTGCAATGCAAAAAGATAGTTCTCTAATCTTGGTCCAAAATGTCCTACCCTGGAATAGACTTGATGTGTTACCTTGCCCCAACCATACTCCCACACAAACACGTCTCTGCCTTGTCAGCTCCATCACCAGCTTTTTCTCCTTTCTTTTTTAAAAAATATATTTTATTGATTTTTTACAAAGAGGAAGGGAGAGGGATAGAGAGTTAGAAACATCGATGAGAGAGAAACATCGATCAGCTGCCTCCTGCACACTCCCTACTGGGGATGTGCCTGCAACCAAGGTACATGCCCTTGACCAGAATCAAACCTGGGACCCTTGAGTCCGCAGGTCAACGCTCTATCCACTGAGCCAAACCGGTTTGGGTGCTTTTTCTCCTTTCTGACGACTATTCCAAGAGCCAAGCACATGGCTCTCCATAACTATTTGTTGATGTTCATTGCACTTCTCCCAAACAGGGCTTAGAAAAAATCTTGATGTGGAGTGGGAGAGATTACTGTCTGTAACCTCCTTATGGGGTGTCAATATTGAGAAAGAAGATAGCTACCAAAAAGGACTCCTGGTGACTAACTGGACACAAATGTAAAAATGGAGCCTAGCAGCCATTTCTAAACAGAGGCCTCCCATGCAAACCAGCTTCAGGGATAAACTTGCACTAATCTGCCTGCCTACACTGTTTCTGCCAACTGAGCCAGACCTTAAAAAGGAGTTCCTGGAATAGTATTTCAACCAATAAGACTGAAACTTGTCCTGTCCAATCGGAGCCATACACTTATAGCCTTATTAGCATCTTCACTAACCAATCAGAACAGCTATATACAACCAATCATGACAGTGCTTTTTGGACCAATTAAATTGTGAGGATTTGGGGTCCTTATTTAACATGAGAACAGACCAATCAGGGACCAGGGACAGGGACTCTCTTTATATAAGTCAGTTTTCCATTGTCTGGGAGAGCCCAAGTTCTCTTATGTGAAGGAGACTGCAGGATGAAGTTTCCTGATTGGAGCTGAAACACCAAAGGTCTGTTTTCAGGGCACCTCACAGCAGGGTGAGTTGAAGCAGACCAGCTTGAACCAGCTCAGAGCTGAGCTGTCTAGCCAGAGAGGGGCCTTGCCCGAGGGCAGCCTCCTGCCAGAATCAACCTCACAGTAGTGCTATTCCATAATTGAGCTGTAACATTATTGAGGTGCTCCACAGTCATGCTGTTCCACAACTGTGCTGTATCATGATAGCTGTTTGCATTGAATAAAGTCACTTTTTCACTGCACCCCCAATTGGGGATTCCTGTAGGTGTTGAACTGATGCCAATAACCACGGGCAGAGGGTTGACAGGGGAAATGGGTTAGGTAAAAAGACTACCTACTGTGGGCTGGCATAGTAAATGTGGCTCTATGAGGAGAATTTCCTCCAATAAAATTTCCCTCATGAGCCATTTGCATCCAAGGGTGGCCAGAGGCCAAAAGTAGCTGAGTCTTTGGCTCCTTTAAGAGGCACGGCCTCGCTGTAGCCCGCCTAGGGAGTGATTGGCCTAAGCTTCCGGTCCGGTTCAACTCGGTTGCTAGGGAGCAGCGTGCCTCCCCCTCCGCTCCCCCCACTTCCCCACTGGAGCGGCTGCGCAGAGGAGCCAGGTGCTTGCTGGGGCCCGGGCTGTGCAAGGACGCCGGGGCTGGGGGCAGCCACAATCAAACCTGTGCAGATCCCAGCCGGGAGGCGCCCTCGCCATTGTGGCCTTGCTGGGTGGGCGCACCCGGCTCCCCAAGCAGGGCCCCAGCGATTGTCGGCACCATGGGTCAGTGCGGCATCACCTCCTCCAAGACTGTGCTGGTGTTTCTCAACCTTATCTTCTGGGTGAGCGGAGCTGGTGGGCGGAGAAGGGTGGGGGCGCCGGCGGTGAGGCCTGGGTTGAGGCGTCTGAGGGGTCCGGCGGGGACTGCAGCAGCGACTTGGGGTCGGGGCTGACGGGGCCTATGACAGAGGGACGGCTTTGTGAGATCCCTCGTAGGCCCTGTGCCTGGAGGGCGAGGAAGGGACCCTTAGGGGCTTCTGGCGGCCTCCGCGTTCGGGCCTTAGTGCTTGACTGTCTCTGGGCTGGGGGCTTCACGCGGAGGGGCTTGGCCCAGTCTCAGGTTCTTCCCCTGGAGCAGCCTGCTGGACCGAGAGCTTTCGATGCAGATTCGTTCCGGACCTCAGGCTGTAAAGAGGATATTTATTCCCCAAAGGGCCAGGCTCCGCTTTCGTTGTCGGCCTAAGGCTTGTGAGCAAAGGGTGCACCTATGCGGGAACGCTGCCAACTCGGTGAGGACTTTGACTTAGAGCTCTTTGTGAATGGAGAACTGGTTGGCTGGTTAGCAGCCCCAAAACTGAATGGCTTCGATTTGATAAGTCAAATAATCCGTTGACCAAGAAATTAAAACGGTTTGGGTCATGGGTGTGGGGAGCCTGAGGTTATAAACCTCTCTTAAATATGATTCGGAAGTCACAAGATTTAAAAAGTGATGAGCTCACTTTCAATAAATGGTGGCTTGTGAGTTGTTGTTTTTTAAAAACACACCCAAAGAAAGGAGTGTTTATAGCCACTTCATCTTAGTTCAAGTTGTTATCTCACCAGGGACTTTTGTAATAACCTGTATTGCTACAATCAGTCTCTCTATCCTCTAATCCTCTGGACCTTGCACCCGGATAAATCTTATTAAGCATTCTTCCCTCAAGTCACTTTATTTAAAAAACAAACAAAACCCCTAAAAAAAATTAGCAGTGAAGTAAGGTTCAATCTCCTGGTATTACAGCTGATGTCCTTAGTCACCTTTCCTTCATCATGACTGGCCATATTCTTAAACACTTGCTGCCCTGGACAGACTTCTCTTGCCACAGTCCGAGGACACCCCTGGAACATTCTCACTTCCCATACTTTTGTATGTCCCCATTCAAATTCTCCTTGCCACACACATACCTATTTTGGAAAAAAATTCTTTTCTTCTTACAACTCTCATCTTCCCCTCCCCTCTCAAGGAGGAAACTTTTTATATCCCCACTAGTGTAGCATATATAATAAGGCACCTATACACACATGTGCAATGTCATAGTTTTTTCCGGTATTTATGGTGTGATGGAAAGAGTCCTGACTGATAGTACCTATTCAAAATCTCTCATGTGACATTGGGGTTTTCATGATTTTTTGTTGTTGACACTATTACAGATGTCCCCTTTACCCACCTCCACCCACACCATTCCCCTTTCCCCATCACTACATTCATGATTTCTTTTTTAATTAGTGTTTTTCATACATTAGTTTGAGTTACAAGCCTTTTTAAAAGGTATTTTCAAGAATCCCCAAATAATAAACACTCTATTATTAATAAGATACTTAGGGAGAGACTTCACTTTGTAACCTTTAGTTTCTTATGATTTTTATGGGCATGACTATTTAATTTTGAAGAATAATCTATCAGATGAATTCTAGGCTATTTAAGCTCAGGGACTTGAATTGTTAATGTAATAAAATATTGGAAATACAGGAGCCATTTTCTTTAAATAAATAATTAGATTTTTATTTACTCTTAAATATCAGTTAATTCTAAGTGATTGCTCATGAATCTTTGGAAATTGTGTTAGCATATGTACTTTTGGTACTTTCTTCAGTGAAAAAGGTTATGTTGAACTTTAGTTGTGCATTTCTTAGTGGGTTATTCCAGGCCTAAAGTTATACTATGTAGTAAAAATACCCTTTATCTAGGTTAGCAAGGATAGTAAAGCTTTTGTGAGCTGTGATAAGGAAGCTAAGCAGACATGCAGGGGAAAATATTGTGACATAGAGCAGATTAGTGCAACCTTATGAGAAAACAGTATTTTTAGGTCTGTCTCCCACCAAATGTTTAGTTTAGGGACAGACATTGGAATCTGATGATGATGGTAATGATAGCTAACATTTGAGTGCTTATTACACCTAGGCACTGTGCTAAGCACTTTACATGAAGTGTTCTCACATCAATTCAATCTGGCAGGAATATTATTATGCTTATTTTACAGATGAGGGCATTAAGGGTTACTGAGGGCATCAAGGGGTGACAGAGCCTGCGTTCAAACTCAAGTTGTTCTATACTTAGAGCCCTTAGTGTTAGAGCAAAGTGTGATTTCAAAAGTTTTGGAAAGGGAAAGTATCTCATTAGGCTATGTTAGAGTTACTTTCTCTAAAACATACTGATTTTAATTTTGTATAGAACCTATACCAGTATTTAAAATGCACTATTTAACTTGTCATTTAAAAAAATTAGGCCATTATGAGGGAGTACATAAAACAGATGTTAACTGGTTCTCCCTAACAATTTGTAATGTATTCTTCAGTTTTAATAAGTATATCCTTATATACTGGCTCCCTCCCTCCTTTTAAGGTCTTAATGAATAATTGGACAAATAAATATTCCCTGCAAAGGGCTTATTAAAAGCTTATTTAGGTTGCCTTGGGAAACTTTTTAACTCTGTTGTACTGGCTCCTCACTATCAGGTGGTAATGGTGATTGTGGTTAAGTATTAAAGCTTAATTGCTTTGGCAAGATCTTTAAACTGCATCTTTTTTTAAAAAAATATATATTTTATTGATTTTTTTTTTTTTTTACAGAGAGGAAGGGAGAGGGATAGAGAGTTAGAAACATCAATGAGAGAGAAACATGGATCAGCTGCCTCCTGCACCCCCCCTACTGGGGATGTGCCCACAACCAAGGTACATGCCCTTGACCAGAATCGACCCTGGGACCCTTCAGTCCACAGGCCGACGCTCTATCCACTGAGCCAAACCGGTCAGGGCGTAAACTGAATCTTTTAATATCTTGTTATCCTAGTTCATTTGGGAGTTGGTTCAGTGAGCTGTGATGTGGAAATAGTATGTTCCTGACATATGTAGGCTCCACACTACATTGACTTAGTCTACGTTATTTTGGACAGTGGAGTCTAAGAAAGTTACTGAGAAAGCCACACAATAAAAGGGGAAATAACTGTTCCTAAAATCCTCAAGGTTGTCTAATGGAAACAGAGTTCCTCATTATATTCCAAAATATTAGTGCTTGTGGCATGAAAGATAATTTTGGACAAGGGAAAGGATATACAACTTAGATCTCTGTTTTTATGGAGTGGCATAGCTTTAAAATGTAAGTATATTAGTGCTAGACCCACGATGGTTTATGGAGGATGATTAGTAGTGTTTGGTACATGATTAAATATTGAATGCTATTGTAACAGTTATTAACTACACCTTTGTACCAAGGTCATACTGGATTATTACTAGGGTAGGTCACTTGCTCTGACCCAGGAGGCTTCATCTAAAACAAGTTTAAATCAGTACTTTTTAATGTTCAGGTTTTTATTCTGGTAAAGTTATTTGAGTACTTAATCATGTTCCGTGTTATAAAAATTACCTTTATTTATTCTACCCTATGTGAAAAACCAATGGGCTAGTATTAATTTTGCTCATAAGTGTCTTATACTGTATAGGGACTGCAAGAGAAAGCTTTGTCCATGCTTGTAGAATTTATACTCTGGCACATCTATTTAGGCTATTGTTTTTCATCTGTATAAGAGGTGATAGTAACAAGAAAACACCTATGGAGTAGGAAGTACCACAGGAAGGTCAGACACCTTTTAAATGCCTTTAGGAACAACTTTAGAATGTGGCACCTTCACTAATTATCATTTGCTCATATGAAATACTTTATACATACAAATAGTATTTGGAAGCTATATATAACCTTTAAAATTTATCTCATTTAAAAAGAGCTTTTCATATCATACTTCCTTCTGATACATATAATTCAGGAAAATTGTTTTGCTAAACAAATATAACAAATATTTGAGCTCCTAGTTTGTGCTTGTATTATTGATAAAATGGTGAAAAAGATAGTGAAGATCTTGGACTTATAGAACTTCTTTATGGAGGAGTAAGACAGATAACTAAAAATAAGCAAGAAAAGTGATGTGGTATGCAGAGGGTTAAAAAACAGGGTTATGTGATAGAGTGCCTTAGGTTGGTAAAGAAGGCTTTTTCAAAGAGATGAGATTTAATCTGGAGTATAAAAAGGAGCTGGTTTTGGGGTGATTTCGGGAAAATGGGGGGAATTCAAGACAGAACAGTCTATAGACCCTAAGGCAAGAATATACTTGATATGTTCAAAAAGAAGGTTTAACTATGTCTTCATGCTTTTGTTTAAAACATTTTTATAATGAAATATTTCAAAGACAACTTTTTATTAAATATATTTTTATTGACTTCAGAGAGGAAGGGGGAGGGAGAGATAGAAACACCAGTGATGAGAGAATCATTGATTGGCTACCTCCTACACACCCCCTACTGGAGATTGAGCCCATAACCTGGGCATGTGCCCTGACCAGGAATTGAATGGTGACCTCCTTGGTTCATAGCTTGATACTCAACCACTGAGTTACACTGACCAGGTTCAAGGAAGCTTCTTTTCACAAATCTCCTTATACATATTTTGTGTTTCCTACACATTTGACTTGGGAATATGATACTTTAAACTGGAACCTTCATTTGATATCCTGGAAGTTGTTTCTATTCCTCTTGCATGTCTATCATTATGAACTAGAGGCCTGGTGTATGAAATTCATGCACTCAGGGGGGTGGGTCCCTTAGCCCAGATTGCGAGAAGGTGCAGGTCAGGCCAAGGGAGCCCACTGATCTACGATTAGGGCCAGGGAAGGACATGGGAGGTTGGCCAGCCAGGGAGGGATAGTGGGAGGGTTCCAGGACGTGTCCAACCCGTCTTGCTCAGTCCCAATCAGCTGGACCCCAGCAGCAAGCTAACCCACCGGTCGGAGCGCTTGCACTCTGGTGGTCAGTG